TTTTTCATGTTTTCTGCTATTAGCCAGATGAAAAGTTAAGCAGAACATAGAACTTTTGAATCTAAGCTTTGTAGGTTAGCATCTAGGAACTTTCACCACACTTGCTACTTTGGCCATTATTTTCCTTAGGAAGAACTATAGACAGAGTGATAGTAGGGGAAAGTTGAGAGCAGAGTCTGCACAGCACCCAGAGACAGGCTTACAGTTTCAGCACCTCTCCATATCACCAGAATCCCTCTCTTCTGACTGAGCAGCAGCATTGCTATACAGGCAAAATCATGCATTACTGATGTGCTGCTGCGAAGTATGAGACATTTTACTTCGATCACCTCCACAGACAGAAAGGTGTTTCAGGTCCAAGATCAAGTTAGAGGATCTGAGTAGTTCTCAAATCATTCCAAGCACCATCTGCTTTTATGAATTCTCTTTTCTTGTACCAACGGTTTTGATTAATTATTGTTTTCTTCCACTAACACGTTTTGCTTTCTTTGCATATTTTACCTTCCTCTGAATACAGCTCTCCAGCAAATTTGTGTGTTGTCATCCAACATCTCATCCAATCCAGAAACTGATTGTGGCTCCAGCAAATCTAACTACTAGCATTTTCCAGTTTTCAGTTTTAGATGTATTAATATTCTCTTGAATACTATTATTCACCTGTATGTCAGTATGCAAATAATAGAGAGAGGTTTCAGCACACTTCAAAGCTACTCATAATTACAGACTGTCTAGTTGACCATTCGCTTGTGAAATATGTAATGGCTTTTGTCAAGACATGCTTAGGAAATTACAGATACTCAGCAGAAAAGCTTTAACTATTACCTTAGCATTTTTAACAAGTTACAATGATGTTGTTAAGTCAAATTTTATTGAGTTTATTTTTTATTACCTTGCAATTGTTTGTGTATTTTTTTCTTCAGCCTTGAGAAGATAATTTTGATTTTCTTCTTTTTTTGTCTGGTGAATCTGCTCTTTCCTGGTTCATTCTGAGCTGAAAGAATCAGCACTGGTTTTAGCTTCAACCACCCTGCATTCTGAGGCTGTACTTACTGTGCCAGAACTATTGTCTGCTCAGCAACAACAGTGTCACTGTGGGAACAATCACCTTCAGTCTGAACAGTGGTCCAAGTTAGCTTTGCCCAACCTGAAGGAGGCGAAAGAAAGGCAAAAATGTCCAAGAACAGTTTGAGAAGCCCAAGAGACCTACATAAGCATGTGCTCTGCTGGCTCTCCTTCTACATATGAGCTCTCAACACTTCTTCTGTCTTTTCAGTTTGTATTGGTCACACACATCTCTGCATTGGACCCTCTGGACAGGTGATACAATCACAGCTATTCCTACCAGCCAGCTTTCTAAGATGGTGGGATACCTCTGTAGGCTCCAGTGTCAAACATGGGCTGTACTGAAAGCAGGACCTAGTCCAGTACACTGTCTGTGGCATCCTCGAGACTTCAGCTGTAAAAATGAAAAAGGTACATAAGGGCTCCACAAGAAATTCTGCTGATCAGACTTGCTTCAACCTATGAACACTGCCACTTGAGCCACCCTGGTGACAATACAAATGCAAATTCATACTGCTGTCTCTAAGGGCACATAATGCCCCAAAGACTACAAGGAGCCCATCTACGGAGAGCTTGCAAGGTAAGTAACATATGTTCCTAGAAAGTCTTACAATAAAACTAACCAGCAGTAGCATAGACACAGAACAAACATGTTTCAAAGAGATCAGCATGGTTAGGTGGCATACTGAAGACAATCACATACGTTGATTTTGTCAAGCTGGCCAAAATTAAAGTTATTTACTTCTCTGGTGTAAGTGTATTGTGCACACTGACACAGACCCACTCACACACTTAGTACAGTGCTGCTGTAGAACCAAGGTGGCCACAACCAGGGATCCTGCATGTATCCCTGTGAATATGAGACCTTAGCAAAGCTGCAAATACAAAAAAATAAGGGTGGGGTGGGAGGGGGAGAGGGAGAAAATAGGGTGGGGATAAAAAAAAAAGGAAGACAAGGCAAAAGCTACATTAATCACCATCAAGCTAAACCAGGTGAAGTGGGTTAGATGTTGAAGATACTTCACAACTTCCTGTTAAAACCAGAGTGTCAATTTAGACCAAAGTTTGAAAATGGAGCCCCTACTAACATTAGTAAAACAGCTTTCAAACTGTCTTACTATCATGTAAAACACACAAGTCACAGATCTATGCTTTCTCCTGCATTTTATCTTCAAAATATTTACAGACCACTCCAAAGCATTAGAAACCCAGGCACTCAGTGCATAAAGTGCATGTTTGCAAGGTTAACGAAATTCTAACACACACACACACACACGCCCCCCCCAACCAACCAACCAACCAACCAACCAAAACCCAGGAATTAGTGCAGGCTTACAGGCAAGAAACATGTTTTACTTCCTAATTTCATTCTATGCCAGACACCACAGCACTCAGGATTTAAAGAGAAAGCATTGTTAACATTTGGATATTAGCAACAACTCAGTAATCACCAGATCACTTTACCGTCTCTTCATGTTGTCCAGGACTGCTGAATTTCAGTCCTTATGTTATGGTCTTTCGCACAGAACAACAGCTGTATCTTCCATTTCCTTTGTGTGATTTCCATAACATATTGTTGTCATCTATTAGAATTATTTCATGCACATGCACATACACATACAATGATATTTTTTTAGCTTGCAAACACTGCAAACAGCCCTTAATATTACAGTAAATTATGAAATGCTTCTTTCTTGTTCTCTCTCACATCCTTCTTCTTGGTCAAAGGCATTGAGGAAGAAAGAGAAAACAGAAGCAGTAATGCTCCCATTTCAAAACCACGGCCATTCAGAGGCCCAGTATGCAGTTTAATGTGATGTCGCTCTAACCCAAAAGATTTTACTGCTGTCCCCTGCCAGCATAATGGTTCTCCTTCTTAGCAAGACTGCAGTGCCACCAGCCACATTAACATTAACGCAGGAATGTTTATAGATTTAGCATAGAGTTCTTTTCAAAGAAAGATACTGCAAACACTTCTTACTAGAAGAACTGAATGCTAACACAAATGGACCCATGGATACAGTGGAAATACTGCCTGAGAAGAGATAAAGGAGAGATGTGAAAATATTTATCTCTACGTATTTTACCGGGTGCAGGAGTTAATCTAGAACTAAACTACCCTGATTACTTCTACCCACTGCAGCACAAACATTTAGCTTTCTTAGGAAATTATTTGAGAAAAGGACATTATTGTGATGCCATATTAAAAGAACTTAATTTGATAAAAGTTCCCTAGATACCTGAGGTGATTCTTAATGACGTTATTTACATGCAAGCTGGAAAGCAGAAAAATCTAGGAAGGTGAAGATGAAACAGTCCTAAGGAGAACTAATTTACATTATTTTGACTCCTATTAAAGTTACCATAGAAAGCTGCTAGCTTAAATTCTGATTAATTTTATATTGAACAGCATTGATAAAATATTACTTTATGTAAAGCACATGAAGCATTACACAAAATTACACAGATTTACGTACAGTACAGAAAAAATATTTATAGACACACATTCTATATGTGCACCAAAACCTGAAATTTCAGCACAATTATGCATGCCTGTGATAGCTGTGTCACAGGTCATAGCTGTAGTGACACCACAGCAGTGGAGAGCAGAGAGGACTAGGCATTTCTAGCTCATGAAAGGAACTGTTCTTTCCACAGTGGTGAAAGCAAAAGGTAAATAGACTTATACCTCATCAGCAAAGCACAAGTCTACCCTTTTAGGACTATGTGTTCATTTGCAACGTAGACACATGCTTAAAAGAATGTAATTTGTCTCCTAAAAAGATACTACAGGCTCAATTCTAACGGCAGCTGATGGCTGTTAATAAACTGGAAGAAACTGGGTGGCTTTTAAAGAAAAACTGTATTTATATTACTCCACAGTAACCTAGGAGAATGATTCCTAACTTCTAATGTCAATTTAGGAGTCTGGATGTTAGTAAGTTACACAAGTTTAAAAAAAATGACTAGACAAATAAAGGCAGATGAGAAAAATGGATTTTGGGCAACAACTCCAGCATAAAATGTCATCAAAGTGCAAGTTTTTGTAGAATGAGAATGTATGTGAGGAGGTATTGTTACACATTGTCTTACATGCTGTTTCCTAGTCATTATTCACTGCCATTATTGTAATTAAACTGACAAAGCACTCTGTAGACAATTATGTGCCATAGAAACAAGGAAGAGAATATCCGTCTCTTAATCCTCTTTGCATTTGGATGGAGCAAAATCTCCTGCATTGAGTCAAGTTAAGGCATCAGCTTGGGTCCTGGCAGCCCTCTACTATCCATTTCTTTGGAATTCCTGCTTTTCAGCTATACGTCTCCCACACCCCTCCCTATCTGAGGTCTCTGACAGACAGGGCATGGAGCCAGCTGGACTATTGGTGTCCAGCTCAGCCTAAGACCACAGCCATGGTGCCCACCCTTACCAGATCAGTGCAGGTGCCTGCACTGGCACTTGGCCTCACTTCCTTCCAAAAGCTCACCCATGCTAGGGAATGAGGTGTTCCACTGGAGCACGATGCGCCTTTGCATCATGGTGTTACCATTATTATTAATGGCAAAAAGTTGTTAATACTCACCATCGCCACCAGCTACCATTATCAAGGTAGTATCACTTGGTGCTTCGAACAACTGGCGTCGCTCTGGGCTCACATGGGTTTGTCTCAACAGAAGGGCGTACTTCTGACGGACCGTAACGATTCGTTTTGCCAGAGGAACCTGGATTTATTTCCCTTCTTCCAGCGAGCAGCGAGAGGCAAAACTGCCGCGGCCAATGCAGCAACGAACGGCGACCCCAGCTACCCCCGACGGGCATCCCCACAGCCGCTGCCACACGGAACGCCCAGCGCCGAACAGCGCGACGCCCGCGAACGCCGAGGTTCCCAACGGCCCAAACGGTCCCAACGGCCGTCCCCCGCCCCGCTCGTCTCTTACCATCTGGGCCACTTTCAGTATGCCGGCGCAGGAGCGGAAATAGGCGCCGTCCATGAGCTCCGCGTCCGAACCCGCTGAGGAGGAGGCGGCGGTGGAGCCCGGCGGTGCAGCGGGACCCGCGCTGCTCACCCCGGTTCGGATCACTCGCGCCCCGTGAGACATTGCTCCCTCCCGCGCTCCCCTCGCCTCTGCCTAGCCCGGGACACGGAGACGGGACAGGACGGGCCGGCAAGGGGCGGGCGGCGGGGCTGGCGGGGGCCGGGCGGAGCGCAGCACCTCCCCGCGCTCCCCGCCTGGTGGGGCCGCGGGGCAGGGGCCACGGGGCGTGAGGGCGAAGGGAGACAGAGGGGAGACCGCAGGGGAGATCTCGGGTGGGACGCCGCCGCCGCAGTCGTAGGAGCGGGGCCCGGGGCGCAGCCTGGCGGCTGGGAGCAGGAGCCCCGCTCTGGCGGGCAAGGGGCGGCCCCGGCACTCCCCACCCTGCACCTTCCCGGGCCGTCCCCATTTGCAGCCGGGTGACATGGAAACAGAGGCCGGAGGGAACGTTTGCAAGCAGGGCGAAGGACGGCTCTATGTACATCGTGTGGGTGAGGGAGGGGAGCTCCGCAGCGAACCAGCCACCACAGTAGCTTTACTCGAACGGTGGAAGACTCCGTCGGCGTGTCAAAGTTTGTCGGCGATGTTGTCGGAGGGGAGTTGCTCCGGTGCTTCACTGTGGAGGTACAGCTGCAATCGGCCTCTGCCCACTCTGCGTTTATTCTCACCAACAAAAAAAGTCTCAAGCCATCTGATTCATGATCTCGTAAAAAAACCCAAAACATTTGCATTAAATGAGCAGCAATAGGCAAACTGTAACGATTGTCCCAGTGTCTCAGCCCCAGTTTTTGAATTAAATCATGCAGAGATACTAACAAAACTCAGGAAGGAAGCTATACATTTCCTCAAATTTAAAAATAATTGGGTTCGCTTTTTTACAAGTGAGGTAATAGTGGGCCTCTAAGTTGGGCATGTGCTGCTGTTACACTTAATAGAGTAGTAACCCAGCTTCTGCTGCTCTGGTCTGCAGTTAGGATGCACATTCTGTTCATATTTAGTATTTAAAAGCTCCTTCAGCGAATTAACAGTGGCTTATGAGGGAAGACAGATAATTTCAGGTGATCTCCAACACAAATAAGGGACTAGTGTAAGTAATTTACATGAGCAAGCTAGGGTTTGCCAGTGTGGGTAATGGTATGTAATCAACTAAGCAGAACATAGTTTTGGGCTTCTATGAACCCTGCTAGTAGTTGCAATAAAAAATATTACACATCCCACCAAATTTTAGGTCATACCATTAGATAATGAAAGCAACACTTGCTATCTCCACAACACTAAAATGCTAGCTGCTGAGAAAGAGCGGTCTGGTTTGTTCTTACAGTTCAAATTCAGAACCATGCACACTTACAGGATTTTTTGCAAGCCCTGTAGACAAAGATTCCAGTAACCTCTGTACTTCCTATTAAGAAATACATTTTTTCTTACACACTGATTCAGCTTCTATAGTTCTTAACTCCTTATGAAAGTATGCATACGGCTGGGGCCCTGCTAATCTGAGTTCTGTGCAGTGAAACAGAAATACCTTTAAAGTAATACAAGCAGAGCAGCAGTCGTTTGCTACCCAGAAGTCTTCTATAAACTACTGGCACAAAGTCAGTCTAAACCATGGCTGAAGTTGAAGTTTTATTACAGTTCTGCTATTTACTTCATGCTTAGAGCATCACATATGATGATAAAAGGTACTGACAACTCCTTAATAAATGAAATGTGATGGCCATAAGTTGACATCAAGCATCTGACTTCAGTTTTTCAGAGACCATTTGTCCAAAACAAGTTATTTATAATGTCAAATTCCTTCACTTTACAAATTGATTAGCACTTTGTTTATTCTTATAAATATCTGTATTAAGAATTTCACTAATGATTTCATCACTTACTAGTTATTCTTTTTAATAAGGTTTCTTTCAATATTATGAACACTAAGCAATGCCTTCAGGCACAAATCTTGTTTGTTACAAGATAAACCACAGCTAGCTTATCTTCTTTATTAACATTAGAATATACAAATGCATAAGTCATAGCTTGCAATTCAGTATTTAAGACTAATGCACTGAAGAAACAGATAACTTTTTTGGTGCTTATGTGCTTCTTCAGGCCTGAAACAGAAGGAACAAACTTCAGAAGTAATTTTCAGCTTGTACAGATTCCTCCAGTTTTAACTAGATATTGAACAGTTAAAAAACAGCCAGTTGGTATCTGGGCAACAGATGAGAAGTGAGAGATGAGAAAGAGCACAGGAAGTAAGATAATTATCTTTCTAAAAGCAAAGAGCAAGGCAGGTAAGTAGGTAAGTTATGATTTGCAAAAACAAAACCAGCACATTTTCCCCTGAGGATGAGCACGGAAGACTCAGAGAGAAGGTAGATATTTTGTGAGAATAATTCCTTATCTGGTAATAATGAGGGTTTGTCCCTCATTAATGGGTTTATTCTGACATGTAACACACAGTTTCCATGACAGTTCTTGGTAAACTGGATGAAACATATTACTCCCTTTTACTACCTTATCCACAAATGTCATCTGGGTTGTGACTTTAGACCAGACCATTACAGTTACCACAAATCATGTAACATTTGTGCAAACATTGTCACATTCTTTGGATTTAAAATAGGTACATCAAACATCATTTAAGAAAGAATTTTTATTACTACTAAAGCATTATTCCTCATGAAATTTTAATTCCAGCTATATTTTTAGTCACATTTTATCAGTTGACATTTGGATCATTTTTATGCCTTTGATTTTTTTTCCAGTGATGGAAAAGAGCATACGGGATTTTAATGGCACGTTTTATCTGCGTAGATAATATGCATAGTTGGTAGCCCTTTTTCTTCCTCACAGCTGGATAATTTTAGCAGCAGCAGACAGCCTGACCTTTGTTGTGGGGGCCAGATGCAATGTGCAGACAAACACAGGTTTTTAAATAATATCTTGGCTTCCCTTATACTGAAATCGTGTGACTCTGACAGGTAATCAGGAACAAAACAATGTGATCTTGAGTACAGAATTAGCTGGCTGTTGATAAGTCTTCTTTGCTACAGGTCACACACAAGTAAGTGCACACCATTTAGTTACAGGGAGGAATAAAGAAGTTCTTTTAAGCAGTAAGATTTCTCTGCTACCATATATAACTGTCCAACTAAGTTTTGGAAGACTGGAAAGAGTCTAAATCTTCTTAATCTAGGAATAAAAGATTCACCAATAGTTTTACGTGAGGATTACATACTACAGGATTTAGAAGCTCAGATTTTAATTAGGACAGATTAATGGCCTAATCTGAGGAGAAAAGAAATGAAACACAGTCCCCTGAGAAACAAAATGTGCTACCTTTTGTAGGTGTTTTGTCGTGTTCTCAGTAGGTTAAACAATGAGCACCAAGGGGCTGTCATCTAGACTTAAGCCTTGGAGCCTGCTGGATTTGTGAAACCTGTTAAGATAATGTTTTTCAGGCACGATATTCCTTTAGCAAGTTTCAGGCCTACAGTAACAGCTTCCAAAAGCAATCTCATGACTGTGGTAAGCTGTTAGAATTTGCAAACTGAGGGGTTCATCAGAATTCTCAGTAGCATATATTTCACTGCAAAAAAGAATTTTAAAAAGCCTTCTACTCCCAGGTTACAAAACATGCACAGTTGGGTCATTTATTTATTTATTTTAAAAGTTCTGGGTGGTATTTTTCCTGCACAGTGCCACTTTTTATACATAATAACAAGACAGTATCCATCTTAGTTTCAATCTGTAGCATTCCATATCAAAAGTATATCTGTAACGTTTAAGAAGTTACATTTACAAAATTGGGACATTCTTCAGGTAAGATTTATTAAAGGTTTAGTAACAACATCTATACAATGTCTAGAAAAATATGGTGTTAATTTTAGAAGGAGCAGTAAGAAATTTTACTATGCAGTACACTGTTAGATGTAAAGATGGTATTGTACTATAAATAATCATTTAATCCCAAAGAACATAGTGTCAATTCTAACAGAAATGTTCAAATAGACCTCATCCCTCTTCCAAGCTTTTGTCAAGAGTATAATCCTCAGGATATTTTATACTACAGATTTCATTGTAACAAAATAGTTACTGCAAAGTTCGTGATTGCCAAGATATAAAGCTAAAATATGTATTTCCAGCATAGCAGGAGGTAACCACAAAGGCAAAGAACTGTAGAGAGAAGGGAAAAAAATACGTATTAGGAAAAAAATATATATTTGAGAGCACTGTCATTTCTATTAAAAAAAAAAAAAGAAGAAAAAGGAAATAGATATGGATTTGGGAAAAGGAGAACAACAGGTTCAGTAAAGTGGCACTTTTCCACCTTCTTGTACTTGTATGGCGATCACTGTCACACTATGTAATCAAGATTATATTATGCACAGAAATACGGGCCTAGAAGCAGTCAGAACATGGCATATTTCAACTCATATCTCTACATTATACTGCCTCAATATGGATCTTATAGATCGGACTCCCACCAATCCTGAACTTGCTGCTTTTAACATCACTTGCTGATAAAGACTGATGGTTAGCCCATGGGACAGTATCAGCTCAAGCTAATACTCCTGCACTGCTGCTATGTTCCAGGAATTGTCTACAGCCCACCTGTACCTCAGTATGGCACACCAAGTCAAAACAGGTTGGTTTCCTGAGGAAAACGTGGATTCAAATGCAGGCCCAGACATGTTCTCAAACAGCAGTACCAATGAGGTTACCAATTCCAGAGGTCCTCTACTGGTGACTGAAGTATTCCTCAGTGCAATCACTGGTGACAGCAATCACTCGAGATACTACTACTTTATCAGAAATTGGTTACAGAATAAGCCTTCTGTAGCAGGATAGATTTTATGTTTAAAGATTAAAACTACACAGTATTGGTGGCAGCATATGTGCAAAGGGACCAAAGAACACCTGTGAACTATTTCAGTGGTACTGATAAAGCCCAGTTCAGTGCCAGTGGTTAAGCTCCTGTTAATCACTACATGTTGTTCAAAATAGACCATGTTCAAAATGGTCTTATGATAAGCCCATAATATTTTGTGCTGGTAACCGAACCAAATAAAGCTGACACTGCAAATAGAATTAATGCTACTGTTCTTAGAGGTGAGAAATAATAGGACAAGAGAGAAAAGCATAAGTTACAAGAAGGGACATTTTCAAGAAGGTATTAGACAGAGAAGAAATCACAGAGTAATCAAATATGACAACAGAGGCTCAGAGGCACTGTGAAAGAACCATCCTTGGAAATACTCAAAACTCAAGTGGACAAGGCTGCGACAGCCTGATATGAGTTAGCCCTGCTTTAAAGGAGGGAGAGTTGGACCAGACAACCTCCAGAGCTTTCTTCCAGCCTAAAAATATTTTATGATTCTACCAGTGTTTCTTGCTAATATACCATCATTGGCCTGGGTGGGCACTTCAGCTCTGAGAGCAGGGCACCACTAAGCATGCATACAGGCAGCAAATCTAAGCCCTCAAACAGCAGGCTCTTGGTGAGTCTTGTTTAATGTAAATTTAATCTGTGGCACCAAAACCTGTAGATGATGATGTGAAATCTTATTACAATAGAAATTTGTAGCAGTCACCTTCTCTGATAATATTTTTTTTTTTAATGAAATAAAAGCTCCATCTAAAATCTTTAACAGAATGACTGTTGGGGAGAGAGGATTTGCTAAATTCTCACACACGTCTAACCATGAAACTCTTAATGGGTTCAGAAAGCAGGAATCTGCATTTAATAATTTATTTAGACAGTGCATCAGATAAGCACTACTAGAAGGTATTAGAAGAGATTCCAAGCATCCCATGAGACACTGGGCATCCATGCATTTTGCATAAAACCTATATCGGCATGGAAGCTTATCTAGCAGAAAACAAGTTCCTATCAACAGCAGTGGCTGAGTAACAGACCAACAGTTACAAACTGTCAATGGGAGAAGACCTCTAAGATGACAGGGATGTAGTTACCCAATTCCCAAGAAAACAACACAGCAGGTGTTCTTCAAGTCTCTGTGTTCATGGCCAGATACAATAAGCTTCAGAGAGAAGACAGGATTTGTGAATAGTCCAGAGAGGATAACTGCAGAAGCATGGACAGTCAGCGAAGTAGCTGTAATTCAGAATTACTGCTCACAATTGAATTTGACCGCTGTTGCCACAACATGCAAAAAGTTCTTTTACAACTCCCTTAACTTGGCTAGAGAATATGCTCCCCTACTCAGCAAGTGACAAGGGTGTTTTGTTTGTTTTTTTTTTCACTCCCTTTGACTGACTGCTTTGGATTTCCAAATCTAAGTAGTAAGACTAATTAATGATTTACATCCACACTGGGAAGTTACATGGTTTTTCAGGCATTGCTCACCCAGCTCAGAAGAAAGACTATCAAAGGATGAGGTGGTAACAGGAAGATCACTGTAGAAACAGCAATACCACTTTGGGACCTTCCCAAAGGCACTGTATGTATGGCTTAGCCCACAAAAGCTGAATGGATCTTACCCACATGCATGCAGAGTTAGCTGAGTCAGTTTAAACTGCTTTTGAAGTTGTCCAAGTGCACTTAAGCGACTTGGTGCTTATACAGTCTGTTTCGTCTACTCTGATGTGCAGGCTGTAACCTCTGTCAGAGAGCTAGTAACAAAAGGGGGCAAGGGAGGGGAAAAGCAGTATGATCATAAAAACATTACAGCCTTTTCTGATCTGTCATGTCTTGGTGGAATTTCTAGTCACAGCCAAAAACCATGAACCAAATTACAGCTACCTATAGGTTTTGTGTGTGAGCTTCTGTATCAGTCTGCAGATTTTCCAAATCCAGGACACACACATTTCAACCCACACTTTCAGTGAGCATCTTTTGATACAACTTTACTGGATATAGAATTGATTTAAACAAAAAATGAACTCACTGAAGAAGCTGCCCAGCTGTTGTAATTGTGACTGTCCAGTTCTTCGGTAACTGAAGATGCATCTACAATGGCAGCAATGAGATACAAAACGAAGGCACTTCCATTAAAACACAGACCCTGTTGAAAAACCAAATGACATAATTAATAGGCACATGCATTTGATACCATTTCCTATACCAACATTATGAAATTCTCCCCTAAAATATAATGCATACATGTAGTATACACAAGAAATGTGATTCTTAACTATTTTTACCTTCTTCCAAGTTCCTATCTGTAAGATTAAAAATTAACTGCTTATCTTGAGGATCCATAAATACTAAGGCACCTTTCAGACAAACAGTTCTCTCCATCACATTAAATCCAGAAAAGTTTTAAAGCTGGTGTACTTTGGTTTTCCAAAAGTGAAAATAAGGACAGAGTTTGGTTATCACAATTTAAATGTTGGGCAGTAAGAATATGACCTTACATGAGAAACAAAAGTGCAATTTGTTTACATTTCTAATCTATGCAAAGATACACTGTAGGAATCAGTAACTTGTGGCATGTGAAGAATATTTGTAAAGCTTCCAAATCTTTCTTTTTTCCACTCTGAAGGAGATAAAGAGGGTCTAATTTTTTTCCAGTCATATTCTCACACATTTCAGTACCTTTCCCTTCTGCCTGATTTACAGGGGAGAAAGAAACAGGTAAATCCAAGGAGAACAGTCTGAATGGACTATGTGGGTCAGCAAAACCCATCCATGGCAGATGATGCACCTTCTCTTCCAAGGAGCAGTTAATGTTGCAGGGTACCTATGTTGATTACTAAGAAAGAAGCAAAGCCAGTAATGTTGATCTCAGATAACAGTACAGACAACAAACAAAATCCATTTGTTCTGGTTTTGCATGTCAGAAAGAACAGGAAAGGAAGAGAGAATTGAAGCCTAAGAAGATGAAAGACAGATAAGAAGGAATGAGGGTTTTTTAAAGTATGTTATTTTAATACTTTGTCCTTTAGTCACTACTTGGCCATGGCTAAAGGAAGTTCATTCTTACAAAAAAAAAAGAGATCCCCTAAAACTCCACCCTCCTGGTTGCCTAATACATGTGAATTTGGCCATAAAATAAACTTTTAGCTCACTGGAACCATATTTAAATGGAATAGTTGTGACATACTTTGCACCTAGTTACAACTGCAAGAATTGGTAACCAGGCCCTAGTGATGTACGTGATCTGCTCCCTTCAGCTTTTGGCCCCATCTATGCACTCCAGAGTGTCATACTTATATCATAACCCTTAACTGTTTCCTTGGCTGTCCCTAAATGTTACCATACTAATTCAGCTCCACTTATTAACTTCCATGGTGTGATGCAGTGGGTGCTACGAATATATGCCAATTATTCACTATTGACTTCACTAGTCACCAATTCTTGTTAGAATCTTAAAAAAAGCCCAAAAAGTTCAGAAGGGCACAGTTCCCACAATGCCACAAAGCACTGATCAACAGCTTGAAGTGTTTGGTATGGAAACACCTCACATTCGTCTCCAGGACATTTGATTCTGGCAGAGTTTACTTCAGAATTGGTGGAGCTTGGCTCACTGCTGCAAGCTCCTGTGACACACAGGGCTCAAACCTTTCTGATGGGAAGCTATTCCCCAAACATGCTTCCTCAACTGCAGGCTCCTCCAGGGAGCAGCATGCTGTGCTGTCATCTTTCCACACATCAGTCTTCAGGTCATCACTGGCTATGTGAGATTCCCCATGCAAACAGCCTTCTTACAGTCTTCAGAGCAGGCTGAAAGACATGACTGTCACCCTATGGCTCCTAAGTCCTCACAACTTCAGGACATTTGGAAAAGAGCCACTTATCCACCAGGGAAGCACTCAGATGGAGTCCAAGGCTTGGCACTTGAGATCTGATTCACACATTTATAAATGAGGGGGTTTATCTCACCTGTATCAGTCGATCTAATAAAAGGTACTATCTCTATCCACACATCTGGCATCTCGTTTTATCTGGGCACTGCAGTAATAAAACAAACTGTCAATTTTAGGATAAGGTACCAGCAATTGGCAGGTTCAGGTGAATTTCTGTAAAGCACTGATTTTCAAACTCCTAATTTGGTTGCCTGGAGTATTTGTTGTTCTGTTTTTTTAGATTTCCCATTCCAAAAAGACTCAAATACCCTGGAAAGCTACAAATTCATAGAATCATAGAATAGTTAGGGTTGGAAAGGACTTTAAGATCATCAAGTTGCACCCCCCTGCCATGGGCAGGGACACCTTGCACTAAACCATGTCATCCAAGACTCTGTCCAACGTGGCCCTGAACACTGCCAGGGATGGAGCATTCACCGCTTCCCTGGGCAACCTATTCCAGTGCCTCACCACCTTCACAGTAAAGGACGTCCTCCTTATATCCAATCTAAACTTCCCCTGTTTAAGTTTGAACCCATTACCCCTTGCCTTATCACTACAGTCCCTAATGAAGAGTCCCTCCCCAGCATCCCTATAGGCCCCCTTCAGATACTGGAAGGCTGCTATGAGGTCTCCACACAGCCTTCTCTTCTCCAGGCTGAACAGCCCCAACTTTCTCAGCCCATCTTCATACAGGAGGTGCTCCAGTCCCCTGATCATTCTCGTGGCCCTCCTCTGGACTTGTTCCAACAGTTCCATGTCCTTTTTATGTTGAGGACACCAGAACTGTACACAGTACTCCAAGTGAGGTCTCATGAGAGCAGAGGGGCAGGATCACCTCCTTTGACCTGCTGGTTATGCTCCTTTTGATGCAGCCCAGGATATGGTTCTGGGCTGCGAGCACACACTGCTAGCTCATGTTAAGTTTCTCATAGACCAACACCCTCAAATACTTCTCTGCAGGGCTGCTCTGAATCTCTTCTCTGCCCAGCCTGTAGCTGTGCCTGGGATTGCTCCAACCCAGGTGTAGGACCTTGCCCTTGACATGGTTAAACTTCATAAGGTTGGCATTTGCCCACCTCACAAGCAAGTCAAGGTCCCTCTGGATGGCATTCCTTCCCTCCAGCGTATCAACTGAACCACACAGCTTGGTGTCATCGGCAAACTTGCTGAGGGTGCACTCAATCCCACTCTCCATGTCACCAACAAAGATGTTGAACAAGACCAGTCCCAACACCGATCCGTGAGGGACACCACTCATTACTGATCTCCAGCCGGACACTGGGCCATTGACCACAACTCTTTGTGTGCGGCCATCCAGCCAGTTCTTTATCCATCGAGTGGTCCATCCATCAAATTGATGTCTCTCCAATTTAGAGACAAGGATGTCATGCGGGACAGTGTCAAACGCTTTACACAAATCCAGGTAGATGACATCAACTGCTCTGCCCTGTAAATTCCTGCAATATCTTGTCATATAGAAGAGAAAAAAAGCACATACTTTTTGAGAAGTGCTGTTCTGGGAAATAACACTGTTGCAGAAGACTGAATGCAGTGCAAGCTGATTGGGCCTTTACTGTCAATATATTACTCAAACCAAATGGTTCATGCTAAATTACCATCTGCTTCTTAAGCTCAAGTTTACCATAATTTAAAAGGTTGCATTGATTGTTTTAGCAAAGAACACGCACTATTAAGGAGAGTCACTTTTGAAGCACATCCTTTGGGTTAGTTTGCAGTAAAAGTAACTGCATCTTAAGCAATCTGGTAATGTGCTTAAGCTGCAAAAAGTGAATTTATGACAGAGAAGTCCAGATGTAATTTTGGATACTACATACAATAGGCATCATTTGAGCTAACTGTCGCTTAAGGAGGCAGAGCAATAAGTGCTGTAATCAAAATAATCCAACATTTCTATAGCAGTGTTATAGCCTTAATGGCAATTGCTGGTCATGAAACTTGAAAACAGAGAAGCTATCTGAACATAAGCTTAGTTGTTCTTATTAGTAATTGCTATAGCTGGCTATTTATTACAGCAGCAAATGGGAAGACTAAAAGAAAAGAGTATTCCATTTTGGTCACGTACAAAATACAGTCGATAACAAGCAGTTTGCAATACAACAGTCAAATATCACAAAAAAATAACAGAATTCTAGTCAATAATCCCTGGCTAGTAGGAAAAAAAAAGGCAAAGAAAACAGATAACATCATCTCACTGTACCACGCAAATGCACAGCTAAAACATATAGTAATTTTTGGATGAGTCCCAAACAGCCAGTTGGCTGAGATGACAATAACTTTTAGGATCTATTACCCTGAATATCAGCCTGTTATGAAATTCATGTAAAAATATACCATTGAGAGGTGCAGCTAGCCAGATTTGATCCATTCACAAAAACTGGATCTGAATTTTAAGTGCATGGGAAATTTTTCTGTAATTACATTAGCTGTTTATCTGACTTGCATTAAGTCTTGAGCTCAAAGCCAATCATTATGTAACACATATTTAATATTTATATATGTAACACTAATTTTCAGCACCTTTTTCACAGTAGACCATATACGGATTCTCAGACTGTTGCCACCTCTGAACCACCTTTGCTTTTCCTGTTTTAAAAGCCAGGGTCCCACTTCCAATTCATGGTGTTGATTCAAATAGGGATATCTGCTGTTTAAAACATATGGCCAGGTCTGTTAGCTCAGAGGCACGAAGAGACTTATTTTTCATGGGATGTAATCACTACATGGGTGAAAAAAAGCCACTGTGCATAAGTATCAGTCGCGCATACATCATTAAAAATCAAGTAACTGCACCAACCACTGAAAAAAACAGTGTAACATCATAGGAAAAGTGTTCTAAAAGTGTCTGGGTAGTATGAAGGTTAAACACTGCAAGTATGCAGCTACACAGTAATTAGGGAAAATTCTGTAAAATGCACAAGTACAGTTGGTTAACTACACCCATAGAATGCATTAATATTTTTGTCTCTTCATAATGAAGCAAACCTGAAACAATAAAGAAGGGGTGTATTTACCACCGTGGTCCATGGCACCTGGGGGATCCTGGTGTAGGTCATTGTCATGTAGATGATCAGAAAGAAGACTGTGAGAACCCAGTAAAACACAGCTACAAACATCACCCAGCCGAAGGCTGGATACAGAAAGTATTCTGTTCCAGCAATCAAGGTCCACACCAGAAGCCCCAGTACCTGCAGAAGTTACGGAGAAGAAAGGAAACTGTTACAGTCTTGGACCTTGTACATTTGTTCTGGGTCAAGGAACAACACTACTGCCATTCACATAACTATTTGATGACCTGAGCTGGGATGCTACACTGGGAGAATACTAACCTAACAAAAAGAAAACCATATAAAACTGAATTTGCTGAGGCAGGGTGTCACAAAGTGAAAGGCAAAATGAGGCGTCCCAGTGTTGATTTAACTCACCTTTAACTGCGATGGAGCCATATTTGCAATGGTTTTACAGCTAGTTCTTATTTTTAGATTGCTTATTATAGCCTACTACCTTATGTGCATAAAGGTAAATACTACTATTTTGCAGTTAGTGAAGTCACTTTAGAAACAGAAGTCTATGAAGGACTACTGGGATCTTCAGGTCCCATCTACCACAGTCACAATTAACTGGAGTAGCTGGGGTCTCGTTCAAAATGGTTCATGCCTGCTCTGTGGACTGACAGGGTCACAGACACAGAACAACTCCTAGGACCTACTATAGTCCTCGGAGACTAGGACTAGTCACTACTATTATAGTAGTAAATATTATACTAGGACCTAGTATCAACAAAGTATCAACAGCTACCACTACTATAACATGCTGCTGGACCACAGCAGGTCGGGTTGGTAATGTCATTATATTTCACAGCTCTTAAAACACCTCTCAAGTGAACCGATCGTAAATAGTAGACAAGAACTCACATGAGCTAAGCAAAGTGCTCTGGGGAAAAAAAGATCCCTTTCTGATCCTTAATCTGGCAATCTGTTCAAATCTGAGGCAAAGAAACACATGAAGTAGGTATTTTTAACATAATCTCTCCTGTTTTTTCTAGTGTTAGGCGATCTTCAATGTATTAAGATGCATGAGGAGAAAATAAAAGAGAGGTCATACCACAGGAAGAAAAGCTCTGCATTTTGCAAGTTGTCTAGCAGTTAGAAAAATCATAATTACACAAAGAAAGGGATATTTTTATACCTTAAAACCAGTAACAGTTCATCCTTCAGATTTCCACCCAAACTTAATTCAGCCCTCAGTTTGTTGTCTTGTGTTCACAGTATACTCCTGTACATTATTTATACATTCATTCACATCTGCACTATGCATACATAAAAGCACTGCACAATTGTCTGTTCCACTCTTTCTTTGGTCTTGTAATAGAGCAGGCACACAATGGTCTTTTTAAGAGTATTCTTTTCCATCATTTTCACCAATTCAGCAATTTCTTTATAAAGGAAGCCCTAGAAATTGGTCTGGGATAAAATCCTACGTTCCGCAGCATACCAGCGGAGGGCAGCATTGCCTCACAAGAACATTTCAGTGTTACAGAATCACAGAATTGGGTAGTTTAAAATACACACTACTATTTCATCATCATCATGGCTTGACTTCGCAAACGAAGATTTGGGAAGGGCTTTACTCACGCTTACTACAAGCGTGCTGATGACTAAAAAGGCCAATGCAGAATAGGCAAATCCAGTTGCAAAAAGCACAGCGAAACGTCTCCTTGGGTGGCATAGGCAGGGTGCGATTCTTTCTACGTTGTCTTTTCTCCTCAAGACTAATTCTGCGTGTGTTCTCAAAGGAGACAACAGCGTTATGTATGGTGTCTCCAAGTCTCTCGATTGGAGGCCAAGGTGGACCACTGATGTCAATATGGCCAAGGCTGAGGTATTGTTTCAGGGAGTTCTCATATCTCTTCTTTGGGGCACTTCTCTTGCAGCAACCGGTGGCGAGTTCACTGTAAAACACAATCTTAGGGAGGCAGTGATCCTAGAGACGTGCCGTGCCGTGCCCTGCCCAGCGCAGCTGCGATTTCAGCAATATGGCCTCGATGCTGGTGACCCTTGCCTATTCAAGGACAGTAACATTTGACACATAGTCAGTCCAATGGATGTTCAGAATCATACAGAGGCAGCTCTGATGAAAGTGTTCGAGGAATTGCAGGTGATGGCGGTAGATAACCCATGATTCAGACCCATATAAAAGAGTAGACAGTACAATGGCTCTATAGACACTAATCTTTGTACTTTTCTTCAGGTTTTTATTGCACCAGACTCTTTTATGGAGTTTTCCAAAGGCTCTATATGCCTTTGCTATTCTGTTGTCTATCCCTTTGTTGACCATGGCATCTGAGGAAATAATGCTTCCCAGACTGCTGAACTGCTAAACTGACTTAAGCTCTGACTTGCCAATGGTAATGTGGAGAAGATGGCAACCTTCTTGTGGTGCAGGTTGGTAGAGAACTAGTCTTCTTCAAGCTGACTTCTAGCCCGAAAAGCTCAGCCGCCTCCGCAAAGCAAGATGTTAAACGCTGCAGAGCTGCTTCTGTGTGGGCAACAAGGACGGCATTGTCAGCAAAAAGCATTCACGGACAAGATGATTTAGGGTCTTAGTGTGGGCCTTCAGTCGCCTTAAACTGAATAGGCTCCCATCAGTATGATATCAAATATAAATGCCGTTTTGTTCGTCGAGGTCTGCTGTAGCCCTTTGGAGCATCATGCTGAAGAAGACTGTTAATAAATCTGTTGTGAGAACACAACCTTGTTCCACACCACTGGTTATTGGGAAGGGCTCAGAGAGTGCATTGCCATGTCTGACTTGGCTGCACTGATCCTCATGTAACAGAACAATCATTTTGAGGAACTCTGGGGGACAACCTAATCATTCCAAGATCAGTCACAGGCCTTTTCTGCTCACAGTGTCAAAAGCTTTGGTGAGGTCAACAAAAGTTACATAGAGCCCCTTATTCTGCTCTCTACACTTCTCTTGCAGTTGTCTGAGAACAAATACCATGTCTGTAGTACTTCTATTAGCTCTGAAACCACACTGACTTTCAGGTAGATGTTCTTCCCCTATAGCAGGTACTAGTCTGTTCAATAGTACTTTTGCAAGGGTTTTTCCAGCAATGGAGAGCAGAGTTATATACCTCGGTAGCTTGAGCAGTCTTGACTTTACACCTTTTTTCTTATACAGAATGATGATGATTGTGTCACGAAAATCTGATGGTAATTTACCTTGTTCCCAACAGCACACAACTAGCTTGTGTAATTTAGCATGAAGTGCTTGGCCTCCATGCTTCCAGATTTTGGGTGGGATCCTGTCGACTTCAGCTGCCTTGCCAGTTTTCACCTGCCGTATCGCCTTAAGTAAGAGTCTCTCCCGTGGTAGGGGTTATATTGAATTCATTTTTCACCGGATGTTGTAACATGTGATGGATTCCTATGCCTTGGACTACACAGTTAGCACTAAAGACTGTTTGAAAATGCTCAATTGTATGTACTATTTAATGCAAAGTTATCAGTTCAGCAATGCTTCCTATAGTTAATTTTAATTCTGGTTCCAACAACATTTACTAATACCATCAATTCAGTTAATAATACCCCAAATTGCATGAACTCCCCATGATTAGATTAAAACCCAACTCAATTTTAGTCTAAAAACTAAGGATGAAACAACCTTGATAGATTAATAAAATCAGCTAACAAAATACCATTTTCTTAGGATACAAAGTTGCTTTCCATTGTGCCCATCCACTTTAATCCAAGTTTACATTTGTTATCCAGAAATTATAGCAATGCATAATTGTCTCACATTTAATAAGTAGTAATTAAGGAGAGATTTATCCTAGATCTGAATAGCAAGTAAATACCACGCATAGAAACTTTGAAGATAACAGGAAAACAAAGAAATTAACCACCATTAAGCACCATAACCTACTGACAACAGGGTTGGGTTTTAGAAAGCTTTTGAAAATAGAAGTAGACTTTCTCATAAAAAAAGCACAAGACTATGAAAAATGCTCAATACTAAATTCAACACCAGTAAGACTGATAAGAACACCTCAGAGATTATATAATGAATTATTTATGGAAAGAGTAAAAACTTCCCAAGCAGCAAATTATTAAATCTTTAAAAGGGAAAATTTGAGGTTACATGAGACCACTAATCTTATATTATCACACAGTGAAGCTAGCAAGACAGTAACTAGATGACTGGTACTCTCACTGGTCACTGTTTTTTTTCCAGTTATAGTCTAAACTGGTGCTATCACCCCTCTTTCAAGATCATTTTAATATTGAAATGGCTGTACACCTCACACTTATTCCAAAGAATTACTTTTGCATGTTTTTAGCTAGCCTGTATCAATGGCAGAACAATTTATCTAAGCAACTGTGATGCACCATGGATGTTACAGATTTATATTCCTAGCCAGTTCCTGGGTTCATATGCATCATAACTTTGATGGCTTGCATATTACAGTGCATATGACATTTTCAGTTACATCCAGATACTCTTACTGCATATTACTGGAGCTGACAGGCTGAAATAATATTTCAGATTTCTTGATTAGAACTGAAAAGGTCAGATCAGCTCATGGACAACAATTCACTGTGTGTAGTTAAATGATATGGCAATGGCAGAACAATTTATCTAAGCAACTGTGATGCACCATGGATGTTACAGATTTATATTCCTAGCCAGTTCCTGGGTTCATATGCATCATAACTTTGATGGCTTGCATATTACAGTGCATATGACATTTTCAGTTACATCCAGATACTCTTACTGCATATTACTGGAGCTGACAGGCTGAAATAATATTTCAGATTTCTTGATTAGAACTGAAAAGGTCAGATCAGCTCATGGACAACAATTCACTGTGTGTAGTTAAATGATATGGCAATGGTTTTACTGCATATATAAACATAAGCAATAAATTATATACCTAAGGAGCCAAAGGAACACAGACACCTTTGGCAAGTCCGTCATGGTAAGCTTGTAGTCTCAGCATATTAAATACTGAGATAGCTTCTGCAGTGTTAAAAGCCTGTCTCATAATATTCTCACTGTCCCTTACACATTTGCTGTTCAACAAACTGGATGACAGCTGTGCATCTGCTGGTGCCAAGAATGATGTTTTTTCTGCTGATTTGATAACAAACCTCCCCACTGGGAATAACTGGACTATATTTAA